AAAAAGTAAGGAAAAAATTTTTTTGGAAAGAATGGAATAGTTAGGAAAACTTCAAAGCTGAAAGTAGCACACATCTTTCATACATATACTTGAACTTCTTTCCAAATTATGCTAATGTATTTGGTATTATTCATTACTGATTATAATAATGTATCTGGTGATTCCCCTGTGGAAATTAGGAATGTACGAAGGATATTTACATGCTTGCCACTATTCATCTTAATCTATTCATGTTCACACTACTGACTGAGTTCATGAAAATGTTTGACATTCTTAAAAGTTGTGCCATTTCACTCAAGAAAATGACAAAAAATGTACATTAACATGATCAAGTTGGAACTTCATAATTGCCTGCAAAAGTAACTGGGATATCACAGAAAAAAAGACAATCCTTGCTAGGAGTAGAAGTTTTTTAAATTTTGAATTAATTCAAATGAGTGATGGGTTTGTATCCCTTTGATGCTGAATGAAGTAATCTGTTGCTAAATTCAGCATTATTCTCATTGCTCATTATACCACAGTAGTAAGGTGATTTTGTCATCCTCCAGCATAATTTGCTGTAAAAAAAATGGTTCACTAGCTTCTGAAAAGTCTATGAAAAAAACACAATTAATGGGACTGTTCAGGATTAGCTATCCATTGTAACTGTATTAGTTTAAATCCAAGTCTCTTCATGACACAACTCTTCTTTCCAGTGAATAGTATGCTCCTTTCAATTCAAGCTTCAGTGAATATCAAAGCCTAGGTGAACTTGTAAATGTCTTTAAAGCAGAAAATACTGAGACCCAAATTTTGGATTTTGGAGTCTTGTTTTTTAATCATTTTTTTGTGTTTGTTACTGACTCTTCTGAAATATATGCCTTTCCTTTGCAGGGGAAGTATTATCTATTCATCGAGCAGAGTTCTCAGCTGTACCGCAGTTTCCTGCCAATCCATGCGTGGATCCACTATCTTATCTTCAGCTTCCAGGGTGTGGGCCGTGTCTTTGGCTACATCCTGGGGGGCATCTATGTCCTTGCCAAAATCAAGGACATTTTTGCACATGTGAAGGCATGGCGGGTTGCTCTTGTCAGAGTCATGCAGAATGTGGTAGGTATTCAAGTGATACTTTAGGTCTATACTAGTGAACTTGTTTGATTACAGCAAATCCAGTATCAGATATTACAATACTTTTCAATTAAAATGCACTCTCTGGTAGGTAGTCATGGCTATTTCCAACTATCTTACATTCTTCTTGATTTGGACTGTATAAATATATACTCCAGTAGTACTCAAATATGGACCCATATTTTGTGAATATGGATCCAGATCTTGGGCTGACATTGAGTATGCTACCTGTTGTAACAGTGCCAGTATTGCAAAATCTCTATGAAACCAATAGTGGCAGCTTCTTTGAAAAAAATATTGGCCCTGTATTCCCAAATATTGGCCCCAATACCCAGGATATTAGAAAAGTCTTACTATCTGATTTACCATTTGCTGCTCCATATTTGAAACATATTGGGCTGATGTTGCTCTCTAATATTATGATGCAAAGCTACCCCAATAGATTGGAACAATATTGTAAAATGTTTGTCACCAATGCCAATATTCAACCAAGGGATCTGTTTTAAACCATGATTGACTAAATTTTTTGTGCTACTGGGGTAGTATATCTCCATATTTCATTCACTAAATGAGAGATTTCTTTGCAAGGTTCTCGCAAATTTTCTCAGCATGAGCTGAGAGAATTTAGAAAGTTATACAATCTAAGTGATGGACTAGTGGATATCATTGTACCAGTGCCAACAAATTTTCTTAATTTACATGCCTGCAGGTAGAACACCATTTGAGATATCAGCTGGATAATTAAGGTTGTTACGTTCAATGAATGGAGGTGATATGGCAAAAATATCCATGAAATTGGTATTTAAGAACATGAATTACAAAAAAAGTCATCACTCAGATTCTATTGAACTGTTGCAATGAGAATTTCTTATTTGCCTTCACAAGTTGAATGTGATAACAGTTGGCCCCAAAAAAGTTCATAACTATATACATAAGACAGGGAATTCATAGGATTTCATGTGTTGAAGAACTTGAGAAATTTTAAATTAAATTTTCAATGTTCATGCATATGTTTGGAATATGGGTTATAGCTTTTTTCTCTGCACAGTACCAAATGAATGAGTGTATCTGCATCTGACAGCTTAGCTAAACCAGGGGAGGCAAAGTTCTATTGTGCATGAAGCTAGAAGCCAGGGTTTTATGCACTCAAAAAATTTTTTATTTTTAAATCATGTAGGAAAAAAGCTGTCACTTGGGTACCAATTCCATTAAAATTTTTGTGAAATCACCTACATATGCTGAATGTGACTAATTGTAAATTTTCTGCAACTACTGCATATGGTGTTCTGTCTAGAGGCATTTAAAGTTGGTAATTATTTTTTTACCACCAGGTAAAGTTGCTGTTTTAACAGATATTCAAGTTTAAATGAAATAAACAGCCTTGGCTAATTTTGGGTGACCAAGTGCTGCATGAGAATCCCTCAAAATAAAGATAGGAGAGTTCCAGTTATCGGGACAAAAGTGGTAAAAAATAATTTACAAAATTGTTATCCAGCTTATGTTTCCTGTATTGTATGGGTACTAAATTTAGTTAAAATAAGCTCCATTTAACAAGGATCACCTGAAGTGTAATGATTTTTTATTACTCCTGCACCATTCCATTTGAATGAATTTAACATTTGCATGGTGAATCTCACTTTTTGACTAATGTTACATATCAGTAATGCCAACTCTATTAGCCAACTATAATTTCTGAGCTACAAAAAACATTGTTTGGCATGAAGAATGGCGATGGTCTATGCCTTCTTTTCTGAAAATATGGAAGCTTCAGGTCAAACCAAATCAGAAAAAATTGGAAAGGAAGCAGTAAAACGAAAACTGCTGTCTAAACTGTTACATCAGTAACACGACCTGAATGACCTTTGTTTTTTTTCATCCATGAAGAAATGAGAAAATTTGGAAAGGAATAGGTACGGGTATCAGTGCTCTATAAGACACTGTTGAAATAGAATTTCTGGACCAAACCATCTTTAAGAAATAACATCATAGATGATTTCATTTTGATTCTGGTGTTACGTCAGTAACTTTGGAACTGCCCTAGGGAGAAAGTTGAGTGTTATTGTTTCTGCTATAGTTCTGCCCAAAAGTAAGTGACTTATAGACTTATGAACATAGTTTTAGGTTTAATTAGGCTGTAATTCCATTCTGTTTAGGGAAGATTGTGTTGCTTTCATGAAAAATAGGGATAGGTCTATGAAATTGATGACTGTAACATGGAATCTTTGTGGAAATTGGAATATCAAAAGAAATTATTTCCACCTAATTTGCAAATCGTGTAACTCCAATAACTTGAAATAGCTAAAAGGGGTTTGGCACTGACAAGCTTTGGCTTTCATCCAAAAGCAGTGCATAATTATGAGGATTAAGAGGCAAGAATAAAAAAATAGCTTCTTTGGTGGAGATGGCAGATTGCAGGAACAGTCTGTAAATGGGGATTGTATGCAGTTCTAAATTACCTCTACATCCCAAAAGCAGGTTAGAGTGGTGTTGTGAGGTTTGAGAAATTGGATGACATTAAGGGTTTTAAGGTGGGAGAGGAGACTTTGACACATAGTTGAACTACAAAAAAATAGCAATAGGAGTTGGAGAGGTCTTTGGAGTTACTCTTTTTAAGAAGTAGGTATGGAGAGTTTAACTATTATGGAGTCATAAACTCAGGATTCAATGACATATAAACAGCAAGTTGGTGGGGGGAAAGATTCTCTGCCCTATTGCATGCTGAATTTTGAAATGTGGGCCATGAAAGAGGGATTGTCTTAGAGTGCCACGATATCTACAGGGTGAATTTTAATTATCTCCCAATGTTTGATTCAATAGTGCTATTATATACAGCAGTCTTAATTATTTTTGCATGTGGAGTTTTACAATTAGACATTAACTTAGATTTGCTGTTCACTGAGGTCACCAGACTTGACACCCCTGGACTTTTTCCCCCTCGGGTGTTCTCAAAGATCAGGTGTATTCCTCCTAGCCCAGGACTGTTTGGCAGCTGCAAGCTGCTATCCAGGCTGCAGTCACAGCAATTAATCAGGAGTTGTGTCAGAAAGTCTGTCACTTGACCCCTTCCAGATTACAGAAATGCTTGTTGCTTGATGGTGCTCAGACTGAGTTCTTGTAGAAGCTGGGATTTTCTGTATGAGTATTCTGTTCATTTAGCTATTTGTTGGTGTTGAAAACTTGGATTCTTTTTGGACAGTGTTTTTTCAGCAAACACTCAAATGTTGGGAGATAATTAAAATTCACCCTGTATGTAGTGCTCTGGCTTGCCACATTACATCTTGCATAACTGCAAAGTTATGCAAATTGAATATTCCTCAATTATTAGACTCTGTTGGTAGGTTTTCTATAAGTCTCATGCAGCTGAAACAGCTGTCATTTCAACAGTGTGAAGTTGTGTAGATAGTAAGCCTGTGGGATTGTTGGAAACCTCAGAGAGGACAATTAATCCTTTGCAAGATATTGTCTCTTACAAATTTGAAAAAATGCCTGATATTTTGTCGTGGGCTGAGATGGAGGTAAGATGAAACCAATTATTGAAAAACTGATTGATTTTTGTTGCAGACATATGGGACAGTACCAAACAAGGAGCAGATTGAAGCAACAGGAAACCAATGTGCCATCTGCCAGGACGATCTTCATAGCCCAACACTGCTGCACTGCAGCCACATCTTCTGTGAAGAGTGTGTGGCCACGTGGTTTGATCGAGAACGAACCTGCCCGATGTGTCGGGCTCAGGTGGCCGATGATCCACAGTGGCGTGATGGATCCACCACCTTCTTTCTTCAGATCTTTTGAACTTGTGATATGCATCACACGCACATTCCCTCTTGCCGTGTTCCCTTCACTGAGAAAGAAAGTGGGATTTCACAGCATGTTCTGTGTTGTGGTGATGGGTCATAAATGGGACAGAATTGTGCATAATGAGGCTGCATTCATTGAGTACTTCCCTCATCAATGTTTAACCATCCAAGTCATTGAAGACCTTCTAGTCATGAATGCAATGATACTTGAAGTAAATCTATGGACTTGGGAATGCTTGGGAATCTATGGGAATGCTACTTAGCAGTATTCAACAAATGAGACTTTTCTTTGATTAATTATAAGTTTAGCATAACTTTTCTTTAGCAAAATGGAGCATGTAAATGTGCTGTGCTTCCATCTCATTACAGATCATTTGCACTGATGATTTTCTGTCCTGTTTGACATTCAGAAATGAGTTGAGTTATTGGGAGTCACTTGAAATTCGTCCAACCAATCATCTTAGAGAAAAAGACAACCAGAGTACCAGTGTGCATTAGGGAAAAAATTTTGATGTGGGAATACTCTATGACTGCATTCAGAATCACTTGTTGGAATCACTGTGTTCCCATAAGCATTCATTCTGCACAATAACACCAAATTAGTCATTCTTTCCTTTTGCTCCTTTCACAGCTATGTCATTTTCATTTCACTTCATGTGTTACCAAGAGTCCTACATTTGTCTGGAAAATAAACCAATAGGTTGGTTTTTGAAAAGGCTTGGGGAAACAAGGAATGGCTGACCTGTTTTAGGGTCATGGTCATTGGTGCTACAAATAGCTGTCACATTTATATTGTATGGTGATCAATGTTCAAGTCTCTTCAGGTGAAACATATATTTGAGAGGTATAGTAATAAGTACTTCACCATGCAATGTAGAGCATGGAATTCTGAAGTGGAACCTCTTTTATAACATTCCAACACTTAATGTATTCAGGATTTCAAGAACAAGGGTGATGTTTGCATAATATTACTTTCTAAAACAGGATTTGATTGAGGTGAAAAGTTTAAATGGAGGCAATCATATCCCTGGAGTGCACACTGATATATAGGCATATTCACTTTTAAGTCTTCAGTGTACCCCCCCCCCTACCTAATTGCCATATCAGTTTATTTTCCAGACATTGTATTGGTGTTTGAGTGCTACTGCTAGTGATGTCTGGGATCAAATGGTCAAATGCCTTTAATATCTTGGACAGAATGAATGTGATGACAATACACATCATTGCAGTGTGATTAATCTACTTCTTTGTGTAGATGCATATAATCAAGCAAGACATCAGCATTGAAAAAATATCACTTCCTCAATGTTTGACTTTGGAAAAAGTCTCCATCTTTCCGAGTAGCATTTCGATTGATCTCTCGATGTCTCTCTCGTGACACAAACTCTTCAACTATTTCCCCATCTCCACGAATCAACCTGAAATAAACAGAATGGCTGAGGTTCTACAGAATGCCCAAATTTTGACTAGGCAAAGAAAGGGTAATGTGGCAATCTTTAAGCCAGGGGTTGGGAACCTTTTTAACCATGTGAGCCATGTTAAAATTGAGGTAGTACTTGTGAGCTGAAGATTTTCAGAACAACCTAATTTTTTTCTGAAGTTAGCAACAGACATGTCCATTCTTTGATACATGAGGAACAACCATGATTTTAAGCCATGGTTCAATGAGCCAAACTTTTCAGCTTGTGAGCCTAATTTGGCTCATGAGCCATAGGTTCCAGACCCCTGCTTTAAGCTGATGGTCACCCCAGTCACAGGAGGGGGGGGGGGCAGATTCATGAGTGAATCAACTACTTATTTTGGGAATGTATGACTGAAGATCTATACTGCCTCCCAGCAAGTCAAAAAAAAAAAAGTTTAATATCATTCTTCATACTTCATATTCTTTTCCATCTGCAATCCTGAAAAACCTGGTACTAAAGGCCCACTACAAGTCCACACTGTCATTTCCCTTTTGGGTCTAGGCACACTATAATTGACTGATGCAAATTCAACAAATCCAGCATTACATCATCTTCCTAATAGCTGAAATATTCAAACATGATAAATACAGCTATGAGAGCTGTATTGAATTTATATAGTCATAACCACCAAGAGTAAGTAGCACTGTGAAAAACATTTTCTTGACACTGACATATTACAATAATCCTGGTCATTAGATGAATTGGTGATAGAAAAATCACATGTAATGTGAAATGACCACTGTAGGGGTCACAGTAAAATTCTTATATACATGCCTCACCTTGAGGGGATATCCCAGTATGGCCATAAGGTTAGTTTTTATCAAAGAAAAAAAACAGCTTCAAGTTTTTAAGTACCATGGCCAATGTTTATGCATCAACAAAAAATGTAACAAAGGGGCCTGCTGTTAGGAATTTCAAAGGGGTTTGTGTAACTTGGTGGACCTCCCTGGAGAATAGCTTAATGGATATAAAAGGTTAAAACACACCGATGCCTTCCAGTTTCTTCATCATAGACCCTCCGAAGTGTGCTCTGTTTCTTCTCCCACTCTTCTTTGGTCATCGGTGCCATGGCCTTGGACTTGGCAAGGACCACTGGAAGAACTGGCCCAACAACATCTTCCTCAACCTGGTCTTTCTCATCCTCTTTTACCTCCTCAACATCAATGCTGTCCTTCCTCAGCTTTTTTTTCTTCTTCTGCTTTGACTTTTTCCTTGTCTTCTTTTTCAATTTCTTCAGTTTCTTCTTGAGACGTTTTAGTCTCCTCTCTTCCTCAGAGCTGCTGAAGTCTGAATCAGAGTCACTGCTCTTGTTTAACTCAACTTTTTGCTTCTCAATGCATGAGGAAGATGAAGATGAGGAGGATGAAGAATGCTTGCACTTACTAACCCTCCTGACTTCTGGTTTCATGAGTTTTCAAATTTGTTTGGTATGGAGAGAGAGAACATAAGGCAAAATAAGCTCCAATGCTACAGTTTAGCACATAAGCATAAGCAGTTGATTGAAAGGTGCACTTGAGAAATTCCCATAATCTAGGCATAGAGCTAGGCTTGAGAATCAATCCATGCCTTCTTCCTAATTAAACTAATGAATTTTAAACTTTACATATGCTGCATGTCCTGGAGACACTTCATTTGGGGAATCATGGGTCACTTAGCCTGTTGTACACACCCCACACATGCTAGCTCTTTTATGTGCACACCCCATATTGAGAATGCTTCTGTATGAATTTAAGGTCTTCTGAATGTTATGCTTCCTTCTTATGGTGAATTCACTGAATTTGAAAAAAGAAGGCATGCTAGGCTACTTCTTTCTTTTAAGAGGAGCCTGACCCCAAGGGTTTAGTACCAACAGAACCCATAATGGCAAACAAAGCTCTTTCAATAGCATCCATCAAGAACTCTTAAAAGCTTTTTACACAGTATTTCATTCGGATCAGACTTTATTTTCACTTGACTTTGAAACTCATGCAGGAGGAAGGTCCCTTGCACACATGTCCAAGTCAACAAGTGAACAATTATCTGAATCAAGTGAAAACAGTTTACCGAGAACGTTGATGGATTGGGATACTCTTCCCACCGAGATCAGGTACTGTGAAACCCTTTAAAAGAAAGCTTACCGGCATCAAACCCCCAATCAAGTTATGGCCTATCCATCACTTGAAGCTAGGAGTGTATTCCCTGATTCATTTACAACGTCCACATTCTAGTGTGGTATATGGGCTGATTTCAAAACTGCAGTCCAGTCGCAGTTGTGTAGCAGTTCAGTTCCAGTTTTAGTTCAGCCGTAGTTCCGGTTGAGATTCCTTTGTAATAAAAGTCGACAATGGCACTGGAACTTCAGTCGGACCAAAGTCTGAACTGAAACTGGAATCGAACTGCCGTTTTGAGATCAGTCATGGAATGTCAGATCCTACATATGAGGGTATGGAAGAGAGCGACAGACTACTTTCAAGCATGAGGATCTGTAAGGAAGTAGAGATTCTTTATCCTCTGCTTAAAGGACACGCAGACGCACTATTCGACTAAGGATGTCAGCTAACCGAACTTTCTGTAGCGAAGCAAAGGTCATTATTTTCTTTAACTCAGCTTTGTCCGCACCGAAAATTATTTGTTCCACCAATACTTCCACTCTATCGTGTGAAAACTGTCTCAAATAGGGTGAATTTGGGATGAAATTCGTGTCCAGTGATCAGGAAGGGAGTTCGTGACAGAAACAAGGGTCACGTGACGAGCTTTTCTCGGATCGATCGCTGACGTCAAGCTCACGTGATCACAGTCTCAAAGTGACCTTCGTGTCCTGTCCCTGCTTCGCTCAGTCTGCCCTTGGTTTTCGTCCGCTGTCTTACATCAGAGGTTATAACATCGCCGGCCGGGCATTCTGATTTAGGGGAGTTTGGACTGTGAATCTTAGCCGACTCTAGATTCTGATTTCATGCCCGACTGGCTAATAGCCTCTAAATGTGTTTAGCGCAAAGCCCAATCCGCCTCAAAGATATGAACTTAGTTGTGTTTTTAGGTCTGCCGCGGTTTAGAATTCTGTGCCTTTTTTCCCCATACACTTGCGTACAGTAAGTCTAACTAGGCTATAAATTCCAATATTAGGCCTAATGCATTGGCCAATACGTATGTTAACGAGAGGATTGGGCATTTCTCATGCCTATAAATAGATTTAGATCTAGACCAGGGGTGCCCAAAGTGCGGCCCGCGGGCCGCATCTAGCACACAAAGTGCCTTAGAAAACATCCACTTTGGGCACCCCTGATCTAGACTCTTATGAGTGGAAAAATTATTTTCATTGCAGATTGACTTGCCCACCATAGCCACCACCTTAGGAGTCTTTTGGTGAAAAGTATTTGACCTTCCGAGAACCAAGGTAAAAATGCTGTCGTCACATCCTATCAAGAAGGCCTCTTTGGGCAACTTGTTCAAGTTGAACTTTGAAGGAGACCTTGGAATCCCAAGGAATGAATTTATGTCCGATGAAATGCCCAAGATCGAAGATCTACATCCCAAGGCATGTTGTTTTGAATTCAGTAGGGAAATTCTGATTGCATAAGATTTCTCTATTAATTTTTGTCTGGAATCCCAGTTTAAAGTTCCACCAGATATTTTCCAGTGAGAGTAAACCTGGTTTTATCTGCCGTTTCCATCTAGACCACAAATTCAGGCTCATTCCAGCTGAATAAGCAGTTAGATCCAATTTGGTTCTTGGCGATAAAAGCAGTCAGATTACAGCTGCAAATTCTGCCCACTACAATCTGATTCACATCTGCCATCAGTAGGTTTTATAGCCTTGAATGATTAATTAAACCTGAGCTGACCGGTTGTCTGTGTACTATGAAATATGAGTGCAAAAGGTTAAAGATTAGATGGGCCTATTTAAAATCAATTGACATTTCTCTAATAATCAAAGCCTTGGCTTTTGTATTATTAGGTACGACATTGGCTGGAATACTGTATTAACTTGTGTCAACCTGATCGAGTTCATATGTGTGATGGCTCTGAAGAGGAAGACCTTGCACTACGTGAGTACTTGAGGAAGGAGCACATGGTGGAAGATCTTCCCAAGATGAAAAATTGGTAAGTTGTTTTGAAAAGGAAGTAAGCCTGCAAATTCATTTGCTACACAGATGGATGATAAAGTCCCAAGAAGTGAAACATTAATAGAAAAACATTCTTGGTAGGCCAATCCTGCAGAATTGTTATACTCAACTGGATTTTTATTTATTTAAATTGAATTTCAATTAATCATTCTAGCCCTATACTAGTACCAGTGTTATTTTGGCCCCATTACTTCTCCTTCACTCTTTGAAGTGATGTAATATGATCAGACCTTCCAGACCAAATTGAATTTGAGACAAATGATTCATAAGTTTAGGTCTTATATGCACTAAGTAAATGCCTGCATAAGAAATGGAAAACGTACCTGTTTTTTTTTTTTTTTTTTACTTCATAGCAGTATTATTTTTGGTGAATGTGTTAATGATATGGGTTTGTTTATTTATTCTGAAAATTATAGCATAGTATTCTTTCTTTATCCATTTAGGAAAATTAGAATGACTACACTGTTAATACCTTTCTCTTTCAGACCATAGCTTAGGCATGTTTTCTACCAGAAGGGGGAGATGTATGTTTATCTACTTCATGCAGCTTTTTCTTGGCCTCATGAAATTTGTGTATTTTTCAACGTATGAAACCCGAAGCCTATCCAGAGTGGCAAAGTAGCACCATTTTGTTGGGTTAGGAATCTTATTAGACTTGAAATGAGGAAGAGAGGCTGCAGCAGTGTAGGAAAAAATATTTATATGTGTCTGAAAGGGTTAAGCTCAAGAAATGGCACCATATACTGTGTAAACTCTGCTGTGGCAACCTTCTTGGCATATTCTGCATGGTATTGATTTCGATGCTGCTATATACGACAGTAGTGCTATTCTATGATGTGAAGAATACTATGATGAGAACTGGCATGGAAAACGGGTCTTCATGAAGTCAAGGGAGAGAAATCATTCGAGCAGTTCTGAAACTCCCTCCACCTTGAGTGCAGGAAGGTCCATTTTACAACTCCACTTTAAGCAACTGTTGATATTTATTCAGACAACTTAGATACATGAAACTTTCAGAAAACAAATTTTGTGGTGTTTCCAATGTAATATGGAAAAATCACAAACCTAGATCATCCATAATGGATTTTATAAGGTGTTGAACACTACACATTTTTTTGGGGCCACCCAGTATGCCTATTGTCCTCCATGTTGTGGCATGAATATCCCTTGCTACCTAGCCTTGCCTTATGAATGAATATTTTTTCTTTCTATCATTGTGCCCATTCTTGTCCCATCATGTTTCCCAGGAAACAATATCTCCATTCCTATGAACCTAGTTCACCAGTTTGTAAAAGTTTGGAAGGCAAAAACTATTTGGCAGTTCTTAGTCATTGAAATGACCCAATATGGGGTATAGGGCTCTTTTAATGTGAAAGATCCACAATTTGATATTTAAAAATTGTTGGATAATTTTACTCACTCCTGAGATTCTTTCATGAATGGGAAGGAGGGTGGTGTCAGTAACTAAAAAGCCATTAATTTTCATACCCCTGCAGCATCCTGGCAACTACAGATCCAAGGGATGTGGCTCGTGTGGAGGCACAGACATTCATCTCAACAGAGAACGAGCGAGAGACACATCCAATTTTGAAGAAGGGTGTGAAGGGAAAGCTTGGAAACTGGATTTCCCCAATTGACTACACTGATGAAAAGAATGAAAGGTTTCCTGGATGCATGAGGGGTATGTTCTCCATTCTTTTATTGTTGCTTTTTGAAGGCTTTACTTGTTTTATGATGAAACATTTAGTGGGACAAGGGCTTCTTCCTTGTGCAAGAGATCTAATATGGAGCCTCAGGCACATTTTGATTCTTGCTAAATATCAATGCAAATTTAGAATTTCCTCTTTCAACCTGTCATGTTTTACCAAGTAGGATTAAAATGTATTTTCTTGGAATATTATATATTTCAAGCATGTTAGTTGTTATAATCATGGCAGCTGAAGTTTATTTTGACAATTTTGCTTGGCCCCATAGATATTTTTCTGTATTTCTAGCATGCACAGGTTTTAATGGTCGTTCTGAAGTGCTTCTCTTTTCGATGCAGGGCGTACCATGTACATTATCCCATTCAGCATGGGAGTACTGGGCTCACCCTTGGCCAAGGTTGGAATCCAAATCACAGATTCTGCTTACGTGGTGTGCTCCATGCGCATCATGACTCGCATGGGACATGATGCCCTTGACTGGATTGACCACCATGGTGGGTATTTTGTGAAATGCCTCCACTCAGTGGGACAGCCGTTGCCAATGGCCGAGGCTCCCATCTCCAACTGGCCATGCAACCCAGAGGAAGTCATGATCCTCCACCGGCCATACAACCGTGAAATAGTCTCGTTTGGCAGTGGCTATGGTGGGAATTCGTTGCTGGGCAAGAAATGCTTCGCTCTCCGCATTGGCTGCACCATTGGACGCGATGAAGGCTGGCTTGCAGAACACATGCTGGTGCGTTTCTCTTTTGATAACATACACATATTGCCTTAGTCATCTGTCAAGTGAGACAGCATTGGAAATACAAGAAAATGTCATCTCTTATATTTAAAGAAAGTCATTTATAACAAAGTGATCAAATTTATTTCCCAATTTGGATGGATTGGATTTTGTAATACTTTGGTTTTTATTTTATGCTTGAAATTTCCACCCTCTATTGATATGATTAATTGCTTTCTCCTATGCTTTGGTCCACTGGATTGGGAATTGCAGTGCAAGTAGAGTGCCATATTTAAATTAGGATTTACATGAGTTTGAGTTTGGGTAATGCATCTTGATGCTTCTGTGCTGCTGGAATTTTGAGGAGGAAAAAAACAAGTACCATTGTTCCTATTGTGGGTTCTTGCAGATTGTTGGTGTGACACCTCCAAATGGGAAGAAGCATTACATTGCAGCAGCTTTCCCAAGCCAGTGTGGCAAGACAAACTTGGCCATGATGAGTGCTGAGCTGCCTGGCTACAAGATTGAGTGCGTGGGAGATGATATTGCTTGGATGAAATGGGATGAGAAAGGCCAACTCAGAGGAATCAATCCTGAGAATGGATTTTTTGGCGTTGCTCCAGGTCTGTCTTCCTTTCTTCCTTTGTTGCTTGCACAGTAATTGCAATTAGCTTTTTTCTCAATTTATTTTCCAGAGCTGTTATTAATTAGCACCTTGTGAAGAAGTTTCTTTCATTGAGTATGTTGACATTTCTGGGGTTCTGTATCAAGGACTTTATGATACATTGCAGCTATGACACACTGCCATGCAAGAACTTGTGAATATTGAACACATTTGTAGTGCTTTTCAAGAATGTCTAATGTAATGCAAGTTTCAGAAGTTCAGTTTTCTTGGATGTGTATTCTTTGGATTCAGGGACATCACACAAGACAAATCCAAATGCCATGGAGGTCTTGAAGGAGAACACCATATTCACAAATGTTGGTCGCACCAGTGATGGTGGAGTCTTTTGGGAGGGCCTGGAGGATGAGATGGATCTTGAGAAATTGGAGGTGATTGACTGGATCAATAGGAAATGGAAACCTGGCTCCAAGACGCCATGTGCCCATCCCAATGCTCGCTTCTGCTCGCCATGTCGACAATGCCCAATTATTGACCCCGACTGGGAGAATCCTGAGGGTGTCCCCATTGATGCCATCCTCTTTGGTGGCCGGAGACCCAAAGGCGTCCCACTGGTGTTTGAGTCCACAAGCTGGCAGCATGGTGTCTTCCTTGGGGCTTGTGTCTCATCTGAAGCCACTGCTGCTGCAGAGTACAAGGTGAACAGCTTGGTTTCCCTTTGTCCTGGTTCCTGATGGCATGGATGGAATGAAGTGACTAAGAGTCACATGATCCATAGAGATAAGTTCACTTGGTCATATCTGATTCAAATGGGGATTCAGAAGGAATTAATCTTGTTAACCCTGGAATTACCAGAACCCAGATGGTCATATTGACTTAACATTCTCTTTGGGAATGTAGAGATGAAACAATCTCTTCAAAATGCTTTTCCTAATTACTATCATGTCTTCATGAAAATTCGGCATCAGACTTTACAAGTCTACAGTGCCGCCTACACAAATGGGTGAATTTTTGTATCAGGGTTCATTGGACCTATAGTGGTAGTTGAAGGGTTAAATTGTATTGGTAGTCTATCAGATGTTTAATGAAAACCCTAGATGCCAACAACATATTCCTTTTGGATGTGCAAAAGAAGTCAGTATTAAAATAATTTAATCAAGGAAAGAAAACTTTAATAGGGTTTAGCACCCTACTGAAGAAGAATCTAGTTAGTAGATAAAAGGGAGAAAATAGATCAACCTAGGGGAGAAGTGTGCTGCTCTTATCCATGCACCAGTGATACATATTGAAGTGGAGTGAGGCAGGTGGAAGTCAACATGACTAATGGTCTTTGCTTGGCCCAGTCAGTTTGGTCTTGCACCTTCTAAACCTGCTCATGCTGCTTCTGATTATCATCTCATACTTCCTTCATGGAAGCAGATCCCCTTCAGACTATGATTGTCACCTGTCCTCTATTTTACTAGACACTTGTAAGGAAATTCTACAGGATGGAGGAAAAATGGAAGCCATAACTTGGAGTTCTGTGGATTGTTTGCTTCAAAATCTATTTATATGGAAGGAGCTTTTTCTCATGACATTAAAAGTCATGACCAAAGAATTTCTGCAAGTCTCACCTCCCAATGCTTCTTGAATGCCCTGTCTGAATTTTCACACACTTGACACTGTTAACCTTGTGACAATCCAAGAATGTGTAACTCTTATGAATCGGGAGACATTGCATTTGTGATCTCCCATGCTTTGCTTTTTCCACCAATGCCCCATTGACCTCATACAGAAACTATAGGTATTCATACAGATTATGCATGGAGCCTCACATGACAAAATTTTGTTTTGTAGGGACGTGATATCATGCATGACCCGTTTGCAATGCGTCCATTCTTTGGCTACAACTTCGGACATTACCTTGACCACTGGCTGTCATTCGAAAAGAAGCCTGGGCTGAAGATGCCCAAGATCTTTCACGTGAACTGGTTCCGACGAGATGCTGAGGTGAGCTTGTTCCTTCTATGAGTCTAAAGTTGGTCACTGCAGGAGTGTTACAAGGGGACATTTCTTTTCAACAGAACAAGTTCCTCTGGCCAGGCTTTGGCCAGAACCTGAGAGTGTTGGACTGGGTCCTGCGTCGCCTGGAAGGAGAAGATTGCGCTGTGCCGAGCCCCATTGGCCTCCTCCCGAAGCCTGGCTCCGTCAACGTTGAAGGGTTGAACCCCAAGCCCAATATGGATGAATTGTTCTCCCTTCCCAAGGACTTCTGGGAAGCTGAGGTCAGAATTCTCCAGCTGCCTCTTACCTCCCTCCAGTTTCCCCTAGAGAGCTTTGCTTCCATGTTCCTTTCCCATTGGGTCTTTTTCAGGTCCAAGAGTTGCGCAAGTACTTTAAGGAGCAAGTCGGAGATGACTTCCCACTTCAGATGTGGAATGAGCTCGACGCTCTCGAGAAGCGCGTCCAGAATATGTAAATCGACAGGGAAAATCGAGGAGGAATTTTACTGTCGTCTGCACCCATATAGGCTAGCTCTTCGTAGTTCGTAGGCACTATGCCGAAAAAATTCATGTGCATGCATTTGTGTGACTGTCATTGCTCGAAATGGGACTTTTTTCTCATGGGGGTTATAGGCCCCTTTCATGTCTCCTCCCCTCCCTATACATAATGTGAAGCCTTCGTATGTGTTGCCATGTTTTTTGGTTGTTTCAGGTGGTTTTTTTAATTTTTTTTTTTGCCCATGCCGAAAGTGAGTCTTGGCAGAGTGGCATCCTGCCCCCATTTCGAGCACTGGGCTCGGTGATATCTCTTTCTCTCTTACGCCAATCAAAAGAATTTACGTATCTTTAGAATCTCTATCTAGTTTTTATTTGAAGCAGTATTATTGCATTGTTTTTGGTGCATTCAGTCGATACGGTGCAATAGAGACACACTTGTGATAGCATTTTCTCGGCATTTTTCATAGCGTCAGATCTGTTGCATTTTTCCGCGCTGCGAGACCTGCATCGCGGTCTTTGTGTGCGTTTCGTCAGGAGCATAGTTTCGGTAGCCGTTGCTGTTGGGGTCCTCGCGCAAGTCTCGCAGTGCCGCTCGGCATTTACCAGTCACGAGGTGCCCTGCAGTCTATTCTGGTTCTGGTGTGCACGTCTTTGTCTCTCGAGCATCACTCAAATATACGTTTGGAGTTGCATGTCCCAACCCTCGTTTTTCATTTCGTGACAGTTTTCGGAACGTTTCGGCGACCGATGTGACGATGGCAAGACTGAGATTCTCGAAACCTTTTACAAATTCGATGTGTGGAACATCGAATTTGTTTTTGATGTTCCACACATAGAATTTGTTACAGGTTTCGAGAATTGAATTTGAACAGAATCTGGAATTATGATTTTCCGAAAATGCTGCTCCGTCTTCGCAGCGACGATACGAATCGCGCGATACTAAACCGAAACGATGACACTCTTCCTCGGTAGAAGAGAATCGGTGCTCGTCTCTTTTTCCCTTCGTCGAGACGCTTTGGAATTTTGGCTCCGCAGAAAATCCAAGTTGCTCGAATCGCTTCGGAGGCCTTTGAAGTCATCCGTGCTTCGTGAATTGCGTCTCAGAACTCTGGTAGAACGCGTAAAACACCGAGGGATTCCGCCCCGTCGCTGGGTTCGCCCGCGATTGCGGCGGCACGACGGACGATCCGCCTCGCCGAAAGACTCTTCGAGGAGCGTTCGGGGGGGTAACTCCACTTCGCCGCTCGTTTTCCGGTGATGGGGCAAGACTCTTCGTAGAATCCGCGAGACCGTGCGACGAATTCCCGATGCATTTCGCGACTCAAGTTCGCAACCGGCGGGTCAGGAAGACGAGCTTGACGGTGAACCTACGCGTCTCCTGCTTCGTCCGATCACGATCCTGCTGCTTCTGCGTCGTATTTGCCCTTGTTACCGGTACCATCATGAGCCTGGAACGCAAGCGGTCGTTCGGGATTCCAAGATCTTGCAAGAAAGGGTTCACCTCCAGATGCAGCTGTTCCCGAGGCAACATCCAAAAACCGTTCCTAAAAGATACATGTTACACGAACGAGTGGCGAATGCAGATCGACACGTTCCAATTTCGCGGAATTCGCCGTCTCTTCCACGACGGGACTTCTTGCACGATACGAATTCGAATCGCGTTCTCGATCATTTCGTTCCGAATGTCTGCACTCAAATAATTGAACTTGTGAGCATCCACGGTCTTTCTGAATTTCTGGTTGATATTGCGCTCGCAAAGAAACCGACTCTCGGAAGTATCACCCAGTCCCACTTCTCCCCCCCCCCCCGCTCCATTTTTTCGCAAAAAAAAATATTTTTATCAAAGAGGAAACCGCAATATTTCTGACTTTCCTTTACCCTGACGGAAATTTTTCGGCCAGTCTCACCCACCCTTCCAAAATTGCGTGCCACATTTTCGAGTCTCTCGACTTCCACGGGATTTTAGTATCTCGTTTGCCTTCTACCGGTTTTGCACGTCGAACTAGAGAAATGCATGCGCCTCATATACTCCGTACGTGAAGCAAAAGCCATAAATACGTTCTGTGCCGGTCGACGTCGAAACTGCACGAAGAACCCATGAACAGGATCCCGAGGAGAGGGGGGATCGGACTGCATACAGGCAGTCCTATAGTGCGTGCACTCGGCGCTCAAGGACAGACGCTCGTCCACGTCAGACACGTCACGAATTTCAATTCACGCCCTAAACGAGTTTCTCATCGAGGATAACCACTTCAGTGCTCCCGGGATGGTAGAATCGCTTTCCACACCTCTTCAAAAAAAAGGGACGAGGATCGCTGCTGCGACGCCCTCGAGGAATCCGACGACGCTCGATGCACCGAGGCCTCCGATGCCACGACGAGTAAGACCGAAGACGATCATGATTTGGTCGTGGAAGACGGACCCAAGAGACCTCGAGAGACACTAAGACCCAAAATACTCAAAACCAGAGATATTTTACATATAACTAGACCGGAGATGCCGATGGGAAATGCGCTGCAGCCACACAAAATTAGGAGCGGCTGCCATCCCTCAGGCCGTCGGGTCTGCCAACGCATGGCTTTCCTTATCGTGACGTCACCCTTCAACGTGAGTTTGGACGCTCACCGTTGCAGTGGAGGCTTCATTCGACCCTGCATCGAAAAAAGAAGCGTATTACCTATTTCAGTCGTGAATCCGAGTCCCATCGCTGCGATACGCAATAGAAGACGTCGTTAAGGCAGTGGCAACACACTGGAGACAGGGAAGGCCTAGGCCTAGGTCTTTACTGACGAGATATGGTTTTGAAAAATTAATACTACCTTTTCCATCGTTGAAGAGTATAAGCCTAGTCTTTATTTGCATTGCACTTAACAAGGTGAGTGTGCAGAAGTCGTTTCCCATGCTGTTAGGCCCAGGGTCTATATGGAGCACGGGAAAATCCGTCACGCCAAAGGTCAGATCCCTCTGAGCAGCCGATAGCTATCGAGCTCGATTCATGAATGTGAAACGTGATACTCGACCGTCAGTGGTTTTTCGGGGCATCCGAATCCTGAATACATACACGACTACATTGCGCCTCGGTGAATACCATGCGTCATCCTCTCGTTGACAGTAACAGTAACGACCGACGGCCGATGGAATCGGCGTGAGATCGACTGCCGCGTCCAGTCCATACATGTTTCATGTATAACAAGACCGAAGAGTTATATTCACCGTGTCTCTGCCCAAGGCCCCCAAAGGGGTGAGCAGGGTTGTAGGAAAGCTTTCGCTTTCCACCCTACCATTTCGCATCGCTATCGTCGAACGTGGAAAGGAATGATTAGGTTTTTAGGGAGGAGAGAGCAGAGCACCACGACACGATTATTTCGTGCATTTTCGAGCATGCCCGAGAACGTCCTCCGATAACCTCGAACCCTTCCAGCTCGGTGCCTCGAACCCGGGCGACAGACTCGAGCTCGGCCGGTGGAATGCCGAGCCTCTCGTGACGAAGTAGAACGACGTGATCGTTTCCTCCTCGTACGAGCTCTACCGACAGGTCTTTCACCTTTCGTCTTTGCCTGGAAGACTCTCGTATGTCTCTCAGGGGGCATGCGGCAGACGGGTCCAAACCACGCAACTCTGAGACCCCTCGATCCCGAGAAGCAGCTGCTCGACGGGGAGGCTCTCGCGAACGACTCGAGTTCCGTTTTGTTTTTATTTTTAGTTTCAGGCATCCATTCTTTTTTATTTTTAGTTTGATTTTTTTTAGGGGGGGTTATGTGCCCTCCTTGCTCCGACGCTACACCGCTGCATAGAAGAAACCAGTTGGGAGCGCGAAGGACCTTGCGGGACCGAGAGGTAATCATGCCGACGAACTGACGTCTGCATCCGAGAATATCAGCGAAACCGAAAGCGTGGAAGCCGTAGGAATTCGCAATACAGAGACCAAATCGCCGGAATGGGTACTCGTATGAGAGTGGGAATACCCCAAGTTTTAGCTCCAAATTTTGATTTATTTATTTAACCCCGTCTCGTTCGACCCCCGCCGACCGAGATCCAATCGCTTTCCCTCGATCCTTCCCTTTCCCGTCTACGTTACAGGTGAAAGATTTTCTGGATTCACTTTCGGAAGCGCCTGGACTCCCTTTCTTCCCTCCCTCTCTGCCCCCCCTCCCCCTCAGACGTGACGGGTAATTTTAATGACCCAAGCGACCCCCCCCCTCCCCTTCATTCTTAGATGGGACCCAGATGCGAGTGCCAAAACCCGGGAGGTGACTTTGGTCCCAGGCCATCGCTGCGAGATGGCCTGGGCTGGGACGGAGAAGACGACCAGCCGATTTACGGGGTCCAACGCATGCCCCATTAACGCCTGGGTCAATGCCAGGTCCGACGCCGCTGCGTTCCAGGGATACGAGGTCAAAAAGGTCGAAACGACCTCTGACGTTCCGACCGGTTTTCAGTCTCACCTCGGTCGGGCGAATTTCTTCAACAGGTTTCCAAACCTTCTGGTTCGTTTATTTTTTATTTTTTATTTTTTTTTGCTGCCGCGTTAACGATACGGGCAGATTGGAAAGACGTCCATTTTTGCGGAAATCGCGAAGCCTTCTGTCGCCACTTTTCACTTTTTGACCTCGAATAGTCATTAGGCATGGTCATTACATTAAAGAAAAAAACGAACCTTCAAATCTTAAGATTATGCAGTTAAAAGAACACGATTGAACGAGATCATACTGCATATGCAGGGGTGAACCATAAATAAGTATACCATTATTTTCAATTTACTTCCAGGTTCTTTTTAGACGGAAATATGAAATTGGGTAATATTCGAGAGCAAACTCAAGTTTTTTTTCCTAATTTAGCTGAAATGTTCCTCATCGACTAATTTCGTCTTGGTTCTCGACAGTTTTTGGGTCACAGGAGGACCGCGGACGGCCGGGCTCTCATTCATCAAAGGTACTTCCGGTTTCCACTAATTTGCCGTAAATGCCACAGATTGTGGGATGAGTACACAGATAGCCTAGAAACGACTTTCTAAATTCTCGCTGCACAGTCACTTGACTATCAAAAATCGTATGCATCCATCTCGAGAAATCATCAAGTAAAATTTAAAAAAAAATTGCATGCTTATTAAAGAAATGGACCACGAAAGTGAATTTTTGTAACTCGTAACTGCCCAACCCTGTGACCCAGGCGAACGAAACTTCTCGAACGCGAGCACGAACCTGCCGGCGAATTTTTGCCGCCGTTCAGTGGATACGAGATGGTCCAAAATATCAAGTACTTACGAGTGAACGAGATCGGTTCGTGACATTTCCGTCTAGGATGGGGTCCAACATGCCGATCCTTTTCACCTAACCTGGCATTGACCCAGGCATTATGGCCCGACGCCCACGCGTTCGACCCAGCCTTCACTTTTTCGGGATGGAATCAGGGTCGCCTCACTTAAATGAAACTCAGAGGTGGGGACATTCGGGTCCCATCGCCCGGATTTTCTCCATCGTCTAGATCTTCGAACGGCGCATCGAGAACTTCCTTATTCGTTTTTTTTTTTTAAAGAAAAAAAGCAAGCAAATACATAATATGCAGGGTATGGCAAGAAAATGACCAACGACTTTTGACCTAGATATTTCTGTTCACGCTGGAGTTATTTTCGTGTATACTTTGCATGTAGGAGAATGTCTTCAACTGAAATTTAAATTTTCATGCAACTTTGTTGTGGAAAAACAATACTATCAGCAATTACTGAAAAGAAGTTTGGCATTGAGAATGGACAAGAGCTTCTGCTGGTAGTGGAATGGAGGGAACTCTCCTGCGCCGTCCTTTTTGGTCATCGAGACCACGTTCTGCTCCTTTTCTCTTTAAGTTCATTTACATTGTGCTGGTTGTCTCTGGCAGATGGTTTTCATGAGCTTTTTCTCAACGAATAGCCAACGCCAATAGCTCAACGAATAACGAATTCATTGAGAAAATTCAATCCAGAGAAATTCCTTAACGTTCTTTTAGAATTTTCCTTCTGGTACGTAATGCTGAAAAGACAGCGCAGGAGTGTTCCCTCCATTCCACTACTAGAAGTTCTTGCCCGTTCTCAATGTCCAACTTCTTTTCAATAATTTCTGAAAATATTGCTTTGGCAAAACAAATTTGCATGAAAATTTAGGTACTGGTTGAAAACACACTCCTATATGCAAAGTGTAAGTTTCGCGAAAATAGCTCTGCTGTGAGCAGATTTAAGGCTGAAAGTCTTTGGTAATTTTTTTGCCATACCCTGTATTTTGTATTAGAGTCAACCCATGCCGCACTGAGGAAACGTCGTCTTTGTTTAAATATCCTGAACATGCGATTTCTCCCTTAACCCTCATCCGGGCAACGAGAGCCCCCAGGATTCCCTGGGGTATATTTCATTGCATGGGACTCTGGCAAATTTTTTTTCTCTATAAAGTTAACATGTCGTTCACAGACATAGATTCAGAAACGAATTTACAACGTTTTGATTTACATTTTAGGGAAAAATATTAACGAGTTTTGCCCTTGCCCGTATAAGGGTTAAATGAGAAAACTATGACGCGTTTTCCCCTAGAGAGGAAGATCACAGAGAAGCTCCAATGCGTCACCATTTTTCTTTTTCTTCCCGAGTGCCTGACAGGCTCTCCACTCCACCCGACCTCACTCGATCGATATAGTCTGGCCCGACGAGGAAAAAAGGGTGGAACGGATCCAGCACCATCCCGGCGAGAATCCATCCTCCTTTTCGCGGATTAAACGTGAATTTTGTTGTTGGAGGCTTTCAGGACTCTCTCGGTCGTCGACATCCTCTCCCGCTTCACCCACGTCTTGCGAGGCTACGATGTTCCGCGCGAATGTGGAGGACACGGTGCAATCTCGTTTGGGCCTATCGACCAGGGCATCGGATGGGGCAAAGATCACCTAGAATCGCTCTCATTGCGTCATGAACGGGTTTGCGGTTCCGGAAGCCACTCCAACAGCTACGTGGAACACCTAGCGATCGACATAGGAAAGGTGTTTTCTGGGTCTTGGAATTCACAGATCAGATCCGGTTTCGGAAATGTAACGAGCACGTTCATTGCCTCGCCTCCTCCCTCTGTGAATCCCACGACAGTGACACTTCGTGCTAGAGAAAGAAGTGAGAAAGAAAATGTCGAAAATTTTCCTCTTTTAATCTGATAGATCAGAATTACTCACACGATCCGTGTCAACAAGTACAGTTAATACTCCGGCAGCTGGCAGAATTTTTGGATTAAAAACTTACTCCCTCCAAAAATTCCAAAGATCCCAAGTAATGAAATGGATGCATTCTCCTCCTCCCCAGACTGGATTCAAAACTGAAAGCTTGGAAAATGGAAACATGAACTCTCACATTCTAGGAATGGGGAAAATACTCTGACAAAACTCGTTAGCAATGGGGTTAAGCTCTTTGTCTAGAATGGCTTCACGACACTTCACTGTACGCAGTGGCGTATTTTACGGAGGGGGAAGGGGGGCGCCTCTCCCTTGAAATTAATCATTTTCTCCCCGATATCGCTCGGATGGGGTTTTGTGCACCCATAATGCTGCCCTGCTTTCCCTGATTCTTCAGCCAAAATATACCACTGACTTTACGTCATTTCTTTTTGTAAGCAAATGCCGGCATTTCGCTGCAAACCATTTGTTTGCATTTTAAAGTTAATCGTTTGTCGTTTTACTGTCATGCACTTTTCACTGCAGTCATTTTGACTGTCAACTCATTGGAACATGATGCTTAGTTTTTATCATTCTCTTCTTCGCCGACTTACCATGTCACAACATTCCTGTGATTTCAGTCTTAGGCAAGCAGCTGGCAATTTTTCCGAGGCCAACGGTTTCTTCCTGCTGTTTTACCATGCTATCAGCTCAATCTTTTAGCTCAGGCATAGGCCAACTTTTCCTCCATGGTAGGAGTAGTAGAGGCTTGGTGTGCTTGAAGAGCTACCCACCACATCAGCTCAGCAACCTCATGAGCACTGTGATGGATGGACCTTGATCATGAGAGGCATTAAAAGTGCCACCACCTTTCTTGGAGGACACAAAAACAGGGCAAACGTAATGATAGAGAACTTGAAAAGGTGTAGGGAAGGGCTATACCAGTAGGGAAGTGACAAGTTTTCTCTATGAGTTCAGGTGCTAGTGGCATTTTCCTTGTCTGCACAAGCCTTTCCCAGTCGGTAGTTAAAAAAAAAAGGAGTGGATGCTTTTACTCATTAAATGTGAACATATTGCACTAAGAAACAATGGCATACTGTCAATGCTAAGCAAGACTCTTCTTTCCTTGCCCTGAATTCTCCATGAAGAATGGGAACTGCCCAGCAGTGAAAACAATGACCCTGGGAATCAGACAACAATCAAAAGTTTGCGCAGTGCATGTGCAAGGCATGACATGATTTAGAATCATTCTGAACCATTGAATTGACAACCATAATTCATTCAAATTCAATGAATCCAAAGTCATCAACTGTAAACCAGTCTTCAGGTACAGGCTCAACATTGGACAAGACAATTCCATGCGATCTGCAGGGAGATCATATTGGGTTAAAGCAATGATCAAAGGCCACCATCTCCACTACAGTGGGTATCAGGAATAGATGATGCTTCATACCTTTAAGGGTGTGATGAGAAAAGAAATAATCGGTTTTTCTTAATTTCCTCAAAATTTCCAGAAAGAAAAAAAGCAGTATCCTCCATATTCATAATATAACTTATGCAAATATTGTCAAACTCAAAGTTCTAGGGTTTCTTGTTGGTAATTTCCTTTACATTTCATTTCTAGAGATGGCAGATTTTGATGTTCACATACACGCACACATATGAGAATTGAACCACCGGATGTGCACAGATGAGATCTCAGGTACAAGATGAAGGAGTCAATAAGCATATGGTTCACTGGGTGGGGCCAATGGCACCAACATGCTCAGGGCTGTGCTTCTGTTTTTTCTTCTTTTTCTCCTTTTTCTTTTTCCTCCGATCATCATCGTGCTTCCTTTTCTTCTTCTTCTCATGGATTTCTCCCTCACCCCCTTCTGTTGACCCTGGTTCTCCTGCTCCCTTGTGTTTGTGCTTCTTCTGCTTGTGTTTCTTCTTCGAGGGACTCTGGTTCATGAAGCGGTACTGCTCCGGAAGCTGAAAACCCAGTCATAACCCATTCAAAGTATCAAACAATACCAACAGTGATGTATCATATGAAGAAACATACAGGTCCTGGGTAAAGGCGGAAACCGGCAAGTTGGGCCTGAGAGAGTGGATGTAATTCCTTCCCTACAATGGGTGGTTTCTCAATTACTGACCTCAGGGTACTGCTGGGAAAACAAAATGATTTTCCATCACACAGAGCTTGGCCATGAACTTTAAAAAATGCTGTTCTGAAATCAACAAGGCAAAAGCCTGACAAAGAAGGCCTATATTCACTTATGGGCAAGAAGTTCAAAACTCACTGGAATGAAGACCTCCACCAAACTCCACTTCTCCATTGAAAGCATGTACCAGTATTTAATGATCAAGGATGTCTTAAATGTTCCCTGATGAGATATGAGCAAGTGATGCTGATACAAGCCAAATGGGGAGGCAACTAGACTCACCTGTTGTCTTGGTCCCGTCCAGGAGAATCGATGGAGCCAGGGAGGTTTGGTAAAAAACAGGAAAGCTGGTCCTTCACTTTCTTCCCACTGAACTTATTGTATGAATGCTCCAAGTCATGGAAGGCCATCAAATTTGTTGCTCCAGTCAGCTCACTTGGACCTTTAAGATTGCATTCCAAGGGTTATTAGGACATCCTCAAAATTTTAAGCTTGTCAGCATTTAATGCATTATTCTCATTGAGGCAATGTCCATTGAGGAATGCAACATCTGCTTCATCTTAAGAATATTAGAGCATCATCAGGATACAAGACATGATTAAATCAAGACAGCAGGGATGTACAGGACTGTATCCTAAGGCACAGGGCCTATGAAATATCATTGGGCAGTGGATGTGCATCATTGTAGATGGGTCAAAAAGGAAGCAAAGCAACAGGACAGCTTCATCAAGAATCCCATTCCTTTAATTTGCTTGTTTTTGCTGAATTGGAAGGAAATGAGCCTGAAACTTGTCAATGATAAACCCTCAGAAATCAGACAGAGCCAAAAAGTGCGATATCCTTGGCATGTTACCAACATAGTTCCACCTTGTGCCCCTGTTGTGGGTCCTAGTGATAATGGCAACTGCACCTATTCCAATGTATCCAGCCTGTCCATGCTGAAACCTAACAAGATTCTGCAACATATGTTTCAATGTTCACCTCATGAGACAGCGTGAATCAGATGGGAGATCTGACAAACATTTCTGGAAGTAACCACAACAAAGACTGCTTCTCAATATGTACCCTGAATTTCATTTGGAATCATGGACTCCATTCAATTGATCTAAAATGTAAGATCCACTGGGTGAACTACATGCATCATACTCAGGAAAAAGGAAGATGCTCCACCAGAGGAATTGACCATGTCATGAACCAGTGTTTTTCAGTCCAATACCAACATATGCTAAGGATAACGATGAAAAACATGGTGGCCTTTGGTAGTGGTGCATTTTGGACCCTTACTTTTCTGGTGAGCAAAGAACAATTTCAAAACACTGCATGCCTGAATTGTTTCTCAATTAACAATTTCCACGACATATATCTAACAATTAAAGCATCAACAATGACTTTCCTTTGGGAACATGGGTCGATTGATATGAAGACACTTGTCTGAGACACTAAGGTCCTCTACAGTGAAGACAGATGAAAAGTGAAATTAGGGCTAATGCTTTCGCTTCACTGGACTCAAGACAAGCATCAGACAACCTTTACTGGGAGAGGCTGAGACAAGAATGAAACTTGGCTCGTGGCTCATCTCAGAAGTTTTATGTTCATGTTAACTTGGCGTCCTCAATGGTTTGCTAATCTCTCATGTTTTTTTAAATGTGATCCACAAGTGAGTTTTTGAAATTTCATACATATACACCTAATCCTCGCTATAATATGAAATTTGGGACGGTGATAGGCCAATTATTCCTGATTATATGGGGTTTAACCACTCCAGGCAACTTCCCACCATATCCAAAAGTTTTATTTCAACAGCTCTTGTGTTTTACGCATTATTTACCACTATAACCTTAGGCTAAAATGGGTTAGGCTCGCCTAGGCCAACTAGATCATAGCAAAAGGCCGAGGCCTACATGGTAATTCCTTCATGAGGTAGAAGGGTCCCGTGTGGACGATTGAGGGTCCGGTTTTCCCCAGTGCAATTGTAGTTTTGAGGGTCCCCGTGGAATCCTGTCTGGGGACAACAGGAGACCGATTGCCTCGCGGTGATGACAGCGAAGACTTCGGAGACGCTTGCATCGGGTCCATCATCATCTTTCACCTTTAACGATCCCGCACAAACACATCCAACACGTTTCAGAGGGATTCAAGTTTGACGAAGAGTTAAATCACACACTCCGAACGCGGCCATGTGCGAGTCTTCGACTTGGTCATTTGCCGAGCGCTTCAATTGCGCATCAAACTTGCATGAGAGCAGGACTTCTTTCCTTCAATGTTCTCTTACTTTTTATGTTATTTTATTTTTTTAAATCTTCTGGAGAGTCGCCTCGTTAGCTTTCTCTTTTTACTTTATAGCACAAACCAATATACACGCCACTGTTGGAAGGTTCATCATCGTCATGAACTCTTTACGTACTTGGATAGAGCCCTCAACGGTCAGGTTTGGACAAACACGGAAAGAACGGCCCGCAGCACGTCCAGGGGCTCTCCCGAAACGAAACCCATCAACCGATCTTCATGGCCCAAACAGGAGTCGTCACAAGTCTATTTCACCACCACGCTTAAAGACACTAGACCTGGCATTGCCATTCCTTCTTCATTAGGGGGATAGTGATTCCAGTAAGAAAGTTTCCAGAGAGCGCAACAGCTCCGCCGTAGAGTTTCATGTTGGCCTCTGCTCACACTTTCGAAACCACTCCTCACAGTCTCGGCCTTATCGTTTTCCAACCATCAGTCTAACTCATTCAGTCATACCCATTCTTCCAGACAGGGTCGGCCCTAGCTATTTCGGCGCCCTGTGCAAAGAGACTCCCAACGCCGCCCCACCCCCGAAGGGAGTAGGGTCAATCCCTAGCGTTCAAAACGATACCGAAACAGAAGACATTTCCACTTTCTGAAGTAAAACTGAGGATGACGTCCATTATTGTTTCATACATACAGTCACGTTTCGGTGCCCCAGGTGAATTTGCGCCCTGTACGGGTGCACGAGTGGCACATGCCTAAGGCCGGCCCTGCTGCCAGACTGCGTGAGCAAACCAGATTCCTGATCCATGAAAAGTTAAAGGCTAGACATATGCATTTAATTTCAACAATGATAAATTATAATGTATAATACCTACGCATAATATAATACATATTACGTACTACCAATTATATTATTAATTGTATATAATATATATTGATAGAGTAATAATAAAAATCAGATTTAAAAATACAGGGTGCCCATAAAGTGGCTACCAACGGGCAACTTTTTTCATACTGAATCTGGGGGAACCAACTTTTATTATTTTTGTAGGTTGTTTATCATTAGACCTCGGAATGGTGTCACATCTTTTGTTTCTACACTGAAAATTCATTTACCAAACCCTTGTTTCGATTACAAGTTCAGACATATGGAGTGTAGCAAGTAGAATTGTCAGCCAGGGCAAGTGGCTTCCAAGATCTCTGCATTTTGATCCCTTGTGATTTTTTTTAATTCTTTGGGGCTACTTAAAAGGCATTGTTTACAAGGTACAAGCTCACAGATCTGAACAACTCGAAAGAGAATATCTGTAATGCCATGTGCCAGAAAGGTGATGGAATTCTCATGGATGGAGCCGAAAATGCAATTGCTGGGGCTCAAAAATGTCTGGAAATCGGCGGTCGACACATTGAGCCAATTTATCGAGTAAATTCCTAATTTTTATGATTTTGAATTCCCAAAACGTTCTATTATTCAAACAATACCGTGATAACAGCAAGAAGTTGTTGCAATAGGGTTGAACGGTAAAATTTTCCTAGAATCGTTGTCTGAATTTCTTCTCCATTAAAATGAATTTTAAAAATCGTGATAAGATCTGAAACTATCCCGAGGTCGGTACGTTGTCACGATCGTCTGGAAAATTTAAATAAAAGGCTACTTTGGGGTCTATAATAATAAAAAGTCGCCCATAGGTAGTCATTTCATGGACACCCTGTAGTTCAGCCTGACTCGAAAGGATTTTCGACATTTGGACTCCATATGGCACGTTGGTTGACTGATCGGGCCAGCCCGCAGGCCGTCCAGGACTCCATTATTGAGTGGAAACAAGAAACATTCTTTGTGGTGTAAATATGATATCGTTTGGGAAGGGGGGGGGGGGGGGGGGGGGGGGGGGGGGGGGAAGCAGCGAGGTGATTCAAGCCGATGGACCTTCTCGTATAATGACATGAATCTCCATGGAAGCTCTGTGCTCCTGCGAATCGGATAATACAGTATCCATGTACGAACTACACCCCCCCCCCCTCCCCCACTCTCCCTTAGATACGGCACTAGGGATTGGCTGATGAATGAAGGGACTTAATTAGCCCTCGGTTAACTTCTCCTCGGGGTTTTGTAACTCAGAGCTAAAATGCAACTTTTGGAGTCAGTTGATGAATCAAATATTATACTGGAGCTAGCAAGCCCTACCTTCGCGCATCTCACCACCAATCTCACAACACAGCTCTTCCGGAATTCTCACCCACCATTCCGCTGCGCATGCGCTCTCCCATGTTGTATATCCGTCTCGCGTCGGGTCTCTACGTAGTGGCGGCTCACTTAGATCATACATTTCAGCAGTACCGAACTTTGATTGGTGTTAGTAATGGAATCTGCTAGTCCATTCAATGTTGTGACTCGGCTAAAACGTCTCGAGAACTTCACATGGCAGGACAAGCAGCTGCTATTGCCAATCAAGGATGCATTCAAAGTCGAGATTGAATGAAAAGCAACAGATTCTTAGACAATGGAGTCAAAGGCCCATGCTTGGAATGCTTTGACTAATCATTGCAACGCTCATACATCGACTAATCGAGAAGCAAGCAGCACACGAGATCTCTGGAAGCGAGTGAAGAAGGATGCAAGGAAGATGACAGGCCAGTCCTCCGCCGAAAAAGCTGAGCGATATGTCATAGACTGTGCATTACCAAATCACTTTGATCCCATGGAAAACGGATAAGCTCCTCATCCCTTATCACCTCCTATCTTTGCATCTTTCCAGCCTCGCTCTCAGGTCGTTTGCTCATGTCTTTCTGCGTCCCTCACCCTTGGGGGGAGAAGGGGATGGAGATGTAGAAAGATACCATCATGAGCAAGGATTTGGGGGGGGGGGGGGGGGGCAGACCCCCTGAGCCCTCCCCCTTGGTTGCGCCCCTAGGGGGGGGGGGGGGGGGGGGGGGGGGGGGGGGGGTCAGACCCCCTGAGCCCTCCCCCTTGGTTGCGCCACTGAACGCACGTCATTTTTCTAAATGTGGCAGCGCCCAGACGCTTATTTCTGAGGAATCGGACTTCCTTTTCATTTTTTTTTGGAGGGGGGTTTAGAGGGGCAAGAGAAGCTGTAGGACCCTTTGCAACCCTCTATGCCAGTGGTTCCCAATCTTTTTTTATTTGTGGCACACACAAGGACACTTGAACTTTCATGGCACACCCAGCCATTTACTTATTTTCAATGGGAAACTTGTGCGTGCTTCGCTGAACACAGCAGTTTGATACGAGGCGTGATAGTGCATCTCTAAGATCGTTTTCCACTGAGATGGCGTTCCCTCTTGTTTTCAAGTTTTTTTAGCTTTAGGATTTTAGTTTTTTTTCCGTCAACTCTCACATCTCACGGCACACCTAAGCATTACTGGCGGCGCACCAGTGTGCCGTGTCACACCGTTTGGGAAACACTGCTTTATGCGACTGGTCGTTCCTAACCAAAGGCGTGCAGATATTCTCCCTCGGTCATGCTACTAAAAAAAAAAAAATTGTTGCTTTACGCCTCACTTTTTCGCAGCCCACTGTTAAGTAGAGGAATACAAACCAGTTCACGCCGAGTATTTCTCAACGTTTTTTCCATATCCATCAGCACATCAGCACTCCGCGCTCCGACAGAGGCAAGAAACGACGGAGGGCAAACTTCCGTAAGATTGCGGAAAGAGAAAACTGAATCCATCGGAACTAAGAGCCTCAGCTATTATGTAAAAGACAGAGAACAGAAAACATGGGTACCACTGAAAATCACACTTTATCCCAAAAAAATACAATCAAAACTGAGGAGAAAAAATCAAGACTAGAATGTGAGTTCCTCTGAGGAATGTACAATCATCAGAATCAGTTTCCATTAATAAAAATACGCCATTTTGCAACTTCAAATTACATATAAACACGACTTCAATGTCCAGAACTGCATCTGATTTTCAAGTCTGTCAGACCGATGAGTCTTGGCACACATGGCTGACAGACTGAAAGTGCTATATAAAGACTTGCTTCATGATCAGCTCCTGGCAGAAGGGAGCAACAATGATGGAAGTGGAGAAGTAAAAGATCAGTCCAAAGAAGATAGAGATGGGTAGAGCAGGGAGAGCAGTTCGAAAGATAGCCAGCAGCAGAAGCGTGAGGCTGAGACCAATGAGAATGGCAACAAAGCACGCAATAGTGGTGTTCCAGTCTCCATATGATGATGCCTTCCCAACCAACACGCTATAGAAAATGAAGTCCCCCAGGCCAAGTTTGATGCCTTGGTCATCTTCGTCCTCAGTGGGCATTGATGCTCTTGGAGCAGGTGTACCTACAGTGGCTGCTCCATCATTTTCCACAACCCGTCGATTTCTTTGAACTACTCGCTCCTCCTGTCCTGCTTCCCAGTCAGCATTGAAGCCAGCTTCTGCATCTGGAACGTCCTGATTCTGATCAGAATGTTGCCTTCGGCTCTGTGGCTTCCTTGGTGGACGTTTAGGGTTTTGACTCTCGGGGACTTCATTCTGGTTGGGTGCATTGTTAGCTTGTGCTCTAGTAGGACTATCTGCATCTGAATTCACTCCAAGGTATGAATAGCTGACCATAGCTGAAGAATAGATGAGAGCTGGAAACAGGGGTTCATTGCGTTCCTGTGCTGTTTCAACCAAGATCCGTAGTGGTCCCTTAGGGAAAAGCACAGCAAAGAGGTCCCAGAGTGCAATGAATGCAAGAACAACCCAGGCAGTCCATTCAGGCAGGAACTTAATGAATATGAGTGCCATTAATGCTGAAATGAAAATGAGATAGGCCTGCTGAACCTTCAAGGGGGAAACCCAATGGATAGCAATCATGCCCATCACACCGAAGTTCCACAAGATGAAGAAAACAGTGAAGACATCAATGATGACCTCATATGCCTTGAGGACCTCAGCCATGTATATGTAAGAGAAGAGGAAAAGCATAAGGAAGGATGACAGAACCAACCACCCATGGATAAACTTGTAGCAGCGGAACTTGTAGAGAATGATAAGAACAACAGTGAGGGCAGCAATGACACTGATCATGATGAATGAATTGGCAAGGCTCTGCCATGCCTTTGTGCCTGCATCAGGGGATTCCTCATGGAATGGAGTATAGATAAGGTATGTTCCCTTCTTGGTGTAGAATGTGATGGAGCTGATGGTTGCAACAACAACAACCATACAAAGTGAGACGGGGACAAAGAGCTTGATCACATGCTCAGCACCATACTTGAGCTCAATCACCTCTTCATACTCTGATGAGGACTCAGGTTGCTCAGATTCTTGAGCCTCAGTATTTCCAGACTGTTGATTTCTTACTTCTCTGGTTCCAGACCTGGAAAAATATCAGTGCAAGCATTATTCTCAGTAATGTTTCTTGATTCATCAAATTGAGCTTAGTCATAATCTTCTTGCAAAAATTTCTCTAAAATAATTTGCAGATTCATGCATGCAATTTGCCTGACACTAATGCCAGAGCTTCAAGGCTTTGGGGCATATCATGCAGAACTTTAGTTCTGGCTAAGTTATCATCCATTCAGTTCAGTCCACTTCTTGGAACTTTCATACATTTTGGTTTATAGATATTACTGCTCCTCCATTTACTGAAAATTGAGGTGAATAGATTCCCTTCTTCTGGCAAAAATAAATTGTCAAAGGAGAAACAAACAGAACTGGCCTTTATTTACTGGAAACAAGTCCATGCACACCATACTCCTAAAAAGTTTTGTGGATGAGTAAACATCTCCCAATGAAAAATTGAGAATATATAAAAACTACAAAGGAACAAAAAGAAAAGTTAACCAAGTGATAATTATGTTTGCTTCATTATGGTTGCCATAATCACCTTGAAACCAGTAATAGTTGTCTGGTTTGGAATCTTTTCCAATTTTTTGTTTAAATCCAGTTCAAAGTTTTGACTTGCTTGTAAGTTATATGTAAGTATATGTAATACTTAGAGTAAGAACAAGATATTTGGAGTGAAAGTATCACAAAAAAACTTTTGGATTCATGAAAAGAAATGATGCAATGACCAGAGGCAGAGGAAAACTCACCCATGGGTAGTGCCATCCCGCCTACGTCTACGAGGTTCATTTTGGGGTGGCTCCCTTCGACCAGACATCTCCTGTAGAGGCAGGAGCTCCTCCGCTTCTCTTGGGCTCCTCAGTTTGAAAGCTACAAAAAAAGACACTCAATAAATCCAGAAAGTTAGCCTTCAGGTGGTAACTACATGCAATGCCTATTAAAAAATGTTGTATATTAAGTCATGCATTTTCCTGACACTATGAATCTATCAAGGATTCAAAGATATAGATTGCTGGTAATCAATTGGTTTAGTAGCAATAAAGGTTACAGCTTCCAAAGCTAATAGGGGAGTTGATCAAATGGCAAGCTATTCCTCTTCAGGTAGTAGGTGACTTGCCTACTTTATGGGAAGAATCTGCCTATCATCTGGTTAACATACCTATACCATGTTTACAAGATATGAGAACAGTTCCACCTTAAAAATCACTGCTGACAGTCATAGGCCTATGCAAATAGAGGGCAAACCAAAGGCTTTCTACACACCATAGAGGGATGTCCTTGCCCGAAGGACAGGACTTTAATACAGAGACTGAGCCAGCAGGCACCAGTAATAAATATGTACTTAAAAAATGATAGTAAACCAGACCTACAAAGAAGGAAGTTAAGAAACTGTTGGAAGCATATCAGTCTACTGATGGCTAACTTCTTATATTGCATCATGGCTCTTTCCATGATTTAGACAGAAAACAGTATACCATCAGTGTTCCAGGGTAAAACTCTTCCAGGTGCCACCATCATTATGGTGGTGCCTAGCTGACACGAATTGGATTGCTATGAAGAGATTTGTAATGCTGAAGGCCTCTGAAATGAAGTTCATGGCTCTCAACAGAATTTCTCGAAGCAGGCGAACCAGTGCTATGAGTGGCACAGTGCATAGATCAAGAGTGCACAACTCAAAAGACTTACAATTTTTATTCACTCACCATGGGCTGGATCTACTCCTATGACTTACATAGCTGTGGCCATCAAGGCAGGAGCCATAGTAACACAATGCTGCCAGTTGTGGCAGATTGCAGGAAAGGGCCTCATGGGCCGCATGCATGTTGTGCACCCTTGGCATAGATGAAGTGTGGAAGGAAGAAAGGGGGTATTTGCTTAAAAGTGGATCTTGAGCCCTTCTCCTCCCCCCCCCCATTCGGGGGAAATGCTTTGGTTCATGTTGACCTTCAGAAAGAGTTTTACATGGGACTACACCAGGCAGAGGGGCAAGTCAAAGATTATTAGGGATTGTAGAAACATCCCTAATAGCTGGGGTTAAGTTTGGGGGTCACTGGTAGATGACAAGAGTGTGCTGGTCTAACCCACTGGCACCCTTTGTAGGGAACCCTGTGTGACCCCTCAAAGTTTATAGTTGCAGAAGTCCTGCCAATATCTCAGTGCTGCTATCAAGTAATTTCATATGGTGCTAAATATTGCATGAAATGAACACAATGGAATTCTTTGTCATGCTTTTTTAAATATTTAATAAGTAATTCCAAATGCAGGTGGCCAGCACAACTGTGATTTACAAGCATAAATTAGTAGTAGTAGTAGGGGGGGGGGGGTATAAGAAACTCCAAAAAAAAAATTTTAACATTCACCCCAATGATTCCCAAGGTACATCTCCTTAGACATTGTAGATATAGAGGTCAAACAACATCATGGCAACTGCCAACTGTACATCCTGAAATACACTTTTCCAAAATAAAACAAAGAGCTTCCATATGTTTTGTGAAGCCCTTTTCTTATCAGAGCATTAGTGAAAGAAAAAAGGGGTCCATGGTGTCTCCAGCTCCCCTGATGTTTTATTTTTGTAATGGAATTAGAGGTAGAAGTAATCCTAGAGGTAGTAATAATCCTCATCTTTCTAAATTTGAACAATATATGCCTGGAAAAGGTAAAATATAAATTAATCATGTATAATATCCAAAGCTGTTAAGCTTGATTTATCCATCCTTTGTGTGATACAAAACTGAAGGCAAATGAGGCAACTTTGACTGAGTCAAGGTCACAATATTAGATAGCAGGGGGACAGAAGGGGGGGGGGGGAGGGGAATGGTGGTAAGTAGTACCACCATTTTTGCTTTCTTTAAACAACTAATGACTGACTCATATTTTGCATCATGAAAATAAAAAAAATTGAGATGGAACTGAGTAAGAAACTTAGAGATGACTGGTATACACATACATGCATCTGATTTTTCTCATGCTAGTTTTGCTTTTGACTTATTCTTAGGGAAAATGTTAGGTTTTAATTACTCACACATTGCCCAAAAATGAGACGCTATGATAGTACAAGAAAGAGTCAAGTATGATTGGAATCATTATTTATGGAGTTTGCAATTTCTTTTCACTATGGCAACATGAAGTGAAAAGTCAATCCTTTACTCCTTAGTCCCAACACTGACAATAGTATCTTCATGTTGCCTTCTAATTTGCTTTGGAAAAGAAACCAAAAAAAGCATTGCATACAAAATAAACCAGGACGTTAAACATGAAACATGGTCAAATACCTCTCAGGAGCGCCAACATGACTACTCTATCTGAAAAAATAATTTTGAAGCTTAATTATGACCTTAAATGATAAGAAATTAATGCCTCAGTAACTCAATGTTGTATGCATCTTTTTTAAGTGGCATGACTATGAGTGGCCTAACATCTACCTATTCATCATTTACAAATGCATGTTTTGTGGAAAATAAGAAATATGACATTGCAAGTGAATCTGCCCTTTACTCATGAAATAAGAACCTAGGCAGAATCTCCTTTACAAGGCCTTTACTTGACTACCTTTACATTACTTCTGCTCAATTCCACACACAGAGAACCAACAAATAAAATTAAAAATTAGCAAGGAGGAAGTCGCCAATACAAGAAGCAAAGATAAGGATGAGTTGCTCAAATGCCATACCTTGATCACTCTGTTTTTGACAGCTATGTTTTGCAGGTGATTCTTCAGCAATAAAATATGCTTCTTGATCAGTCTCTTCTGTGATAGGCCTACACCTCTCTCCCTCCTCTAGCTTAGAACTGGTTGTGGTATCCTTGTGACTTGCTGGTTTCAATGATAAAAGCCTCTGAAAGAGATTCCAGACTTTGCTTGCCTCAGGCCTAACATCTGACCCTGATACAGTCCATTGAGGAAGAGGCCTCTGAGAAAGCTGTGTGTGTGGATATGGTGAATTTTGGGACCTGAGATTTGGTGAGTCACATGCATGGGTCAGTGAATACGAACCAAGCAGGGCTGCTGTTTCTGAGGTGTCATCACTTTCATACCCATTCATAAGTTGCATAAACCTGATAAAGATGAAAAAAAAAATTAGTGAACATTATAGACCTGTGTTTCTGTTATACCTATGGAAGACATTGATGATATAATCAAAAGTATGGGCAGATCACTACATACAAATCAACTCCTAGCCAGGATTGGGTTTACCAACTAACCTACCAAAAGAGCAAATGAGTACTTTATTTCCCTGTTGATTAAAAAAAAAATGCATATGCCATGTTGTCACTGCCTGCTGCACCTCAGCATCTGTTATAAAATGGCTACCAGAGAGGCTTCTTTAGGGGGCCAAATAGGTGTTAGTCACTGGATGCTAATAATATGGGGTGGGTTATCTAGCACCTCCCATGTGTAAAGGTGTAACCACTCAAGGGTACTTTTGGAGGTGTGGTCCCTGGCATTATCATGGAGCAAAATGACTCCCTCAGCCAGTAAGCCACACCCTTTACAGTGAAGGGCATTCTGCAGTTTGTCCAGTGTTTGACAGCAGTGTTTCTAGCATTCATAGTTTGACCATGGCACCAACTCCATTTGAACACCTTGATGGTCCCAGACGACAGTTGCCAGCACCTTCCTTGCTGACCTCATAGTTTTGAACTTAGTGGGCCAAGATGATGGGTGTTTCCATGTCATGGATGCAGTTTTGGTTTCTGGGGTGCAGTGGTGCACCCATGTCTCATCTCCCATCACAATGCACTGGAGAATTTGCACACCTTCTGTCTGAAAATGAGTCAAATGACGTAGAGAGTCCCATTTGGGCAGATTTGTGACCATCTGGTAGCTGTTTGGATATCCAGCAGGCACAAACCTTTCATCAATACCCTAACTGGTCATGAATGATGTGATGTGCAGTACCTATTGAGATGTTCAGTTACTCTGCAACGGCACTAAGTTTCACCCGTCAGTCTTCTCTGATGATGCCTTCAATGTGACAAAGATTGCCATCTGGGCATGAGGTGCGAGGTCGCCCAGTTTGCTGCTCATCTCCAACATTAGTCCAGCAGTTATTGAACGCATTTCACCACACATAGACTTCTTGCCGTGAAATGGCATTGGGGGTCATAAAATTCCACAAGCTGTGAATGCTGGTTTTATGCCTTTTGCCTGAAGAAATCTAATGACACTACGCAACTCAACGTACATCCATGTGTGGAATAGGCTGACCATCATTACACTGCTCTATGATCTCACTACTGACAAGTGGCAAGCTCTGGTGGTAACAGAATGATTGAGATAATGTTCCCCTCGTGCTCAGCCTTTTTGAACCTATCTCACCTACTTCTACATGCATGTTAGTGCTCTTGTCAAGTTACTTATTGAAACACCCTCGTAATTTGGATTTCTTCCAATAATGATGGACAAATTTAATGTACTGATGAGGGGTAATACAATGACACCTGCTCCATTCCTCAAAATTCAAGGGTGGATCCTAATGAGCCTGATTGTAATCAACTGTTTTTAATTCTTGTAATGCTTGCTTGCACAATGCAACAAACATTGATTTCATATTGTTTCCTCCTAAATATTGTATGGGAGACAAATTGTCCCAAATGCAATTGGGACATCAAATCCCACACTTTTGTGCATTGGGCTAGGGATGGGGCAGTCAATTGACTACCTTTTAATTGACCATTATTTACTGCTATTTTTTATATTCAGTGAATCAATAAATTTTTATAGGGCATACAGCTGTGGTCATTTATTCTCCAGCACTAAAACCTAAGGGCTAGTTTCATTTTAAAGTTTTATTAATGCAGCCTGCCAAACATCTGGATTGTGCAACCCAAAGGGTATGAAAATGCTCAAACTACCATGACCTCTCATCTGAGTGGTGCAGAGTGTGTACAGGCAGAGTCTGATATTCAAAGTGTTCCAGCCTTAATGGCTTTGAAAGTTACAATTCACAATCTAAGTTACAGCTTTAGAACTTTAGTTTAATGCAAGGTCTATCGTGGTCTTGGGCAATATTCTGCATCAGAGTATCAAATCATTCTCAGAGTCTGTGATCAAGGGACTAGTACTTTGATTATGTCTAGGCCAAAGCCTAAAAAAAATTGATCTCACTATGAAGAGCTTCCTTGAGCAAGGCAGAGGCTATTTTTTCTGGCAGGAACAGGAATAAATGCAAATACCAGAAACCATGAAACTCCAGTTCTGGAAACTATGCGCTGCATTCCTCATTATTCAAAGTACTTATGGAGCTACCTCATTGCGGAATTTACCTCTGAAACATGACAGATTACTGTTTAATGTTCCAATTCATGCAATCTGTATGATAAAGTCTATCTTTGCAATGAGATGTTGACTGGTCAACACAGTTATATACATATACAGTTATACATATACAGTTATATGGCCTACCCTCTTGTTGGGCTGGTTGACCATTATTGTCCATAAATAATATTGATAATATTGACAGTCAACTGACCAGTCAATTAACCAATCCCCAATTGGGGTGCAACAGGAAGATTGAAAATGGGGGAGGGGTTACAGAAGGCAATCAGGGTCCAACTTGAGAGTGGAGTACAATTTGGAGTCTATCCTTTATACCAGCTGTTCATAATACTGCCCTCTCCATTCACTTTACCGTCATCCCCAAATGTGGGTATGATAACCCTATCTTCCCCTTAGGGGACACTTCTGACTACACGCACTTGGCTGGAGGCAGACCTTGGACAGTAGCAGCTAAAGTGCCAGACTGGCTCTCTCATGAAAACATGCATGGCACACCACTACCTGATGTTAGATGCTTACTATTCACAATAGGAGAGCGAAAGGCATACAGGACGTGTCTCTAGTTCACATCACCAACCGCTTGCCGTGGCCATCGTTGGAACGTTTTTAGGTGGATTTCCAGCTTTGTTCTTCAAACTTGACACATATGGTGGTGTTTCATGAAAGGCCAACCATTCGTATTGAGGGTAAGAAGTGCACAGCGTTATCTGCAGTTCTACATACTGCACACTAGGACTTCTTGCGACCTTTGTGCGGAGACATGCTTGAACGATGTTGCTCATCTATCATGTTTCGTACCATGTATTATAACCCTTTTTCCTACTTCCACGTCCAGTTTTCTGCCATTACTTTTAATATGACTACAGAATCTAAAATTATAAATATATTTATTCATTTTCACAAGGGGCTTTTCTTCCAAGCTTACAGTCACAACCCGGCTCATGTATAAGGTATGGGTGATAGACGGCAACCCTACCGTGGCTCTAATTGCCCTGAAGGCGGACCACATGAGACGTGACAGTGGTTTTCCATGAGGTATTGTGCAATGTGATGCCCTCTTATCGAAGTGATACGAAGTACGACAGGACTGGTGTCGAAATCGTGACAACCCTTCGCCTGTTGAGCAATTAAGGTTCGCTCAATCCACTAAGCATAGCATATGCTAGACTACGATGAATAAGCCTAGACCGAGGCTTGTCTTAGTTCCTGTGCATGTGGATAGACCTAGTTTGTCGTTGTAGATGTATTATTGAGGAGTGTCTTGCCGTCTATGCCTTGCAGAGTCATAAAAAGATAGGAACAATCACTTTAGACTCTGGGGTGGCTTAGTCCAGGTTGGTCCTAATCTTCAACCAATTCTATTAGCAGTACTGATAATATTGGTTACTTTCTCCATCGGGGGAAGGAAGGGGGGGAAGAGGAGGACTTAAAGCTTTTGGACGAGTGGAGTAAGAAATGACTCATGAGATTTAGTAAAAGTAAGTGTATGGTTCTTCACATCGGTCTTAATGATAGGTCTCTGAATGAGTTCAGCCTCGATAGGCTCAAGTAGGCAAACTGTGAGATTTAGCAATTACTCTACACTAGTGAAATTGTGAAAACACTTGAGAAAGGGCAAGTTATCAACATAAGAAAAGTATTGTTATAGTTGGATAACTAATAGTTGGATTATATGTTATTGTCATTACAAAATCAATTCAATTGCATTCACTGACAATGAAGTGGTAGTACTTCATAAGTGACATACTTTCATGGTAATCAAAATATATGAAATAGGCCTACAATGCAGAAATGCAGAAATTAAAAACAAATAGTGTTGTTTTTAATTTCTTGGAAATTTGAAGAATTGCAATTGGCATTATCACAATGACATTCCATTATTTGAAATTAATTTAAGTCTATTTCTGGTGGTTGGATCTTAGCTATGCTTTATAATGTGGAAAAACTACTCTACATCAACCCTAGTGATGGGCATACATGAAGTGTGGAATGAAATTGGCAGGCAATTTCACCCTTAATAGTTTGACCGTCTCATGTAAAGAATCAAATTAAGGAACTGAACTCCTTCAAAGTCAGGATCTTTCTTCATCAAGAATGTTCATCACAATTGTGACTGGTACTCGCTGGACAGAGACAAGGCTGCCATATTAGGTGCTTTGGTTGTGTGATTTGAGTAATACAACATGTCCATAACTTTCTTTCTCTTAGAAATATATTAGGCATGCATGAAAAGAAGTCATTTGCAGGAAATATGCCTCAAAATGGTGATTATTTACATTTCATGCTATTGCTACCCCAATATGCATTTGCAATATATTTTCTTTTTAGACGACGGACTTTTGGAAAATCTTTTCGCCGTGAACTCACATTTGACACTCTGCTTGAATGTTGTATGTTTTCCTTAAGGTAGTTAGAAGTGTAAAAACTAATTGTATATAGCTGCTTGTTCTCCATATACCCAGCAAAACCCATCAGTGAAATAGTTTGCTTCTGCAACAGCTAAAAGGTTTTCAAGAAATGGAAATTGTCAGATAAATAGTGAACCAAAGTGTCATTCTTGCTTCTTACCTTCAATCATCAACACATCAAATATAGATATAGAAGAGATTAAGTGTAGAGTGTATATTGAGACAATTGTGATATGCTTGATGATGAAAGCTCTACAGACTCCCATTGGAGGAAAATAAGATTTCAGGTAGTATATGTGAGAACATGAGGCTCCTCTGGGTAATGGAGCATGGGGGAAGGGAGGGGACAGCAACATGTACAGGCAAGGTCCATATGGAGAATGCAAGCACCCCTCTACCCAAGGAGAGTGGGGGTTAGCAAAATCTACAATCCCAGCCTATCGCATCCCCTTATTTTGACATTGGATTTACTTTTCCTTATGCTCTAATGAACTCTACACTTCATGTATGAAAAAAAGTAAACAAAATATACTGCATATATGGGTGGTATGTTGATTTCCAATCATTAATATCAATGCATATTTCAGATATTGACTAATCTTTTTTTTGTATGATTATCGGGATAGCAACGCCGTTAAATGCCTATATCCAAGTTAGATATCCAGGGTGAGATTGTCCATAGTCTGTAGACTGGAACCACAGTCACAGCTTGGATCGTCTTTCATCTTCCATTTATGGAAGATGGAGATTATATGTTTGTTAGGTGGGCTCGCGTTTGATTAAGATTCGCGTCATTTACTTTATCGGATTTGACAAGAATTCGTCCTGTGAGCCAGAACGAGTTTCTGAGTTTCAATCGTGGATTGGGCCAGTTCGTTGTGGATCGGTAGTTCAAGGTTACGTTGGATGCGATGGTACTCGTTTAGGGTCTGTTTGTCGACGGATGTGGGCTAAAACCAGAGGGGTTGGTATCATCCTCAATGTTCTCGATATTATTCACTTGGGGATATTGGGTGTGAGAGCGATTTTCCCAGACAGCACAGCAATACCCGGCCGTCGAAAAGACAAGAGCTATTGCTGAGGTTCTGAGGGCTTTCGCATCGGCGCCCCATCCTATACCTGCTAATTTCTGTATTATGTTCGTCCTTGTCTTAATTATCTCACGGACGTTCTTTAGATGTTAGCGGTACGTTAAACTGCCGTCCAACGTAACCCTTAGATACTTAGGATAGGGGTCGTGATGACGTTGTTGATCGCTGAAAGTCACCTCGAGTTTGGTGTCGGACGGATCTGTTGCTTAGGGGGAAAGCCGTCACCACCGTCTTTGTCGGGTTTGGTTGCAGTAGCCTT